AACACTGTGGGTTTAGAAGCACTTAGCATAAAGCATCGTTATAAAACTCACATTCTAGCAGAACTAACCCGCACTTTGTTCCAATACAAAACGCTTAATCTGGGCATATACATTGTTTTTGTTATTTACAGTTCAGAGTCAAAAGAGTCAGAGTCAAAAGAGTCAGAGTCAAAAGAGTCAGAGTCAAAAGAGTCAGAGTGTCAAAGAGTCAGAGTGTCAAAGAGTCAGAGTGTCAAAGAGTCAGAGTGTCAAAGAGTCAGAGTGTCAAAGAGTCAGAGTGTCATAGAGTCAGAGTGTCAAAGAGTCAGAGTGTCAAAGAGTCAGAGTGTCAAAGAGTCAGAGTGTCAAAGAGTCAGAGTGTCAAAGAGTCAGAGTGTCAAAGAGTCAGAGTGTCAAAGAGTCAGAGTGTCAAAGAGTCAGAGTGTCAAAGAGTCAGAGTGTCAAAGAGTCAGAGTGTCAAAGAGTCAGAGTGTCAAAGAGTCAGAGTGTCAAAGAGTCAGAGAGTACACCAATCTTGACGCAACAAACTTGACGCAACAAACTTGACGCAACAAACTTGACGCAACAAACTTGACACACCAAACTTCACACACCAAACTTCACGCACCAAACTTCACACACCGAACTTCACACACCAAACTTGGCTAAACAAACTTCACACACCAAACTTCACACACCAAACTTGGCTAAACAAACTTCACACACCAAACTTCACACACCAAACTTGGCTAAACAAACTTGACACACCAAACTTCACACACCAAACTTCACGCACCAAACTTCACACACCGAACTTCACACACCAAACTTGGCTAAACAAACTTGACACACCAAAAAAAAAATGAAATCCTCTAATTAAAATAAACAAAAGCAGAGCATGGTTAGCAAAAGTGGGATTTCATGTCATGTTTGTTTCGGTGTCAAATTACAGACATTTGAAATCCTCATTTTTTATTTCTCCCACTGATGCTGGCACTCTCGCGAGAAAAAAACTTGCTGACGTGGAACTTTTGTGGCTTCCCGTTTTATTTGAACCCAGTGCTTCCCAGCGGAAGTGGATCAATGGGAATTCCCAGACCCTTCCCCCTGCTGCCCCCCCCCCATACAATGGCGGATGCCCCTACAGGTAATAGGGAAGTTACCCATTAGCGCACTAACAAGCTGGAGTTATCGCTCCTGACTGCAGTTAAAAAAAAAACTTCTCATTCAATCAGAGTTTGAACGCCACGTAATGTTGGATTCTTCTGGGATTTTACAGTAATCCTTGAAAAAAGATGAAATATTTAATTTGCTTCTTTTCATCGTTGTCTTAAAATTTAGGTTAAAAATCTAATAAAAAAAATAACGAAGACATCAGCTAAGGCGTCTTTGATTACAAATATTTAAAAAAAAAATAAACCGGGAGTGATCTCCCCTAAACTTTCTCGAATATTCTTATATAAAATAACAGGGGATGGGAACTCGGGCTATAGACATGATTTTTAATCCATTTTAAATACTTAAAGTTTTAAAAATAGAATAAAATCTCGTAGACAAATTAATTGCACACCAAGTGAACGCCAAATAAAAAAGCGCATAATGGTGCGCAATATTATTATTACTTTTAAAATTTACATTAGTTTTTTGAGAAATCGGAAGTAGCGTAAAGTACTACTTCCAGTCAACGGAAATGACTCAAAATTTGATAGAAGGTAGAGAATTAGATCTTTTACTTACATATGAAATTTCATTTATCTATCTGAAATAGTACTCAAGTTATAGGCTTTTGAAAAATTCAAAGTAGGAAAAGTACCACTTCCGGTTATCGGAAATCGCTCAAAAGTTGATACGGATCTACGATTTTGATAAAATACTTATATATGAAATTTCATCAACCTAGCTGTAACGGTTCTCAAGTTATCGTGTTTACACACGGACAGACAGACACACAGACACACAGACAGACACACAGACATACGGACAAGATTGCAAAATTATGTTTTTCCGTATCAGTGAGGTGTGAAACGTCGAGATTTGTAAAAATCTCGATTTTTTTTTTTGCACGATTACAAGACTTTCTCTATACTTCGTATATACGAGAAAGTAAAAATGAAATGGCCTAAAATGAAGTTTTGTCAACTTGACATATTCGAATCTAAAGAGATTGTAACAAAACAATTACAGTAATCCTTAAGCATTTACAGTAATCCTTAAAAAAAAGAAAAAGAAACGGGCCGGCGGAAACGTTCACTTCCGGCTAACGAGTTCCAGGCATGCGCACTCATTCTGTCTGGCACCTGAGATCTCACGTCAAGTGGAGAAGACATAAGGATGGGGGAGGGTGGGGGCTAGAGCGGTGAGGGGCTAGAGCGGTGAGTGCAGCCCTCCCCTCTCCTCGCCGTTCTAAACTTGACCTCTGAACCCTGGTTGACCTAACGCATACGGACAGCAGTATCTCGGGTTGGATAGTCTCCCCTTTCCTTTGATTCCGGTGTTGGAGACGAGAGGAAGAGAAAAAAAAATAGACGATGATTGGGGTCGATTATTGTTGGAACAATAAGCTTCCGCAGGTGCTTCAGGTAGGGCCCAGGTATGTAAGCGATGGGGGGAGGGTGGATGGGTAGTCTGAAGGTGAACTCCATTTTCTTTTCATTGTCTCAGGAAGACGTTAAAAAATTAAATATAAATGTGGTTTTTATTTACGGTTTAAAATAAAGCTTCTTTTCTAACAATCCTCATTCTTCAAGCGAGTTCTTATACCGTCTTGTAGTAAAGATTAGAGAGAAGTTAATAAGAAATAAACGGCCTTTGTTGTGTAATGCCGGTAAATTTGAAATTGAACATTTGTATAGAAGATAATAAATTTAAATACGTTGGCCTGGCCATAAGCAAATGAACCGATAGAGGAAGTTAAGACAGGTGAGTTGTGGTGTGCGTGCAGGTGTTGTACTTGATAAATCACGCGAGGGGGTGTCTAATGAGGTGTAAGGGTGTGTAATGAGGTGTAATGATGACAATATCATGTATGTTAAAAATGGGGGTACACGTTTTCACATTTTTGTCTAATGAAGGTCTCAGGCGGTGTAGGACACATATGTGGACAAAGAGGTGAGGTAGGACACATGGAGGTAGCGAAGGACACATATACACACAGGTGAGATAGGACACATTGAGGTAGCGTAGGACACAGACACAGAGGTAGGGTAGGACACATGGAGGTAGCGTAGGACACAGACACAGAGGTGAGGTAGGACACTTGGAGGTGAGGTAGGACACATTGAGGTGGTGTAGGACACAGGGAGGTGGTGTAGGACACAGGGAGGTGGTGTAGGACACAGGGAGGTGGTGTAGGACACAGGGAGGTGAGGTAGGACACAGGGAGGTGGTGTAGGACACAGGGAGATGGTGTAGGACACAGGGAGATGGTGTAGGACACATGGAGGTGAGGTAGGACACATGGAGGTGAGGTAGGACACATGGAGGTGGTGTAGGACACATTGAGGTGGTGTAGGACACATGGAGTTGAGGTAGGACACATGGAGGTGAGGTAGGACACATGGAGGTGAGGTAGGACACATTGAGGTGGTGTAGGACACATGGAGGTGGTGTAGGACACAGGGAGATGGTGTAGGACACATGGAGGTGAGGTAGGACACATGGAGGTGAGGTAGGACACATGGAGGTGAGGTAGGACACATTGAGGTGGTGTAGGACACATGGAGGTGAGGTAGGACACATGGAGGTGAGGTAGGACACATGGAGGTGAGGTAGGACACATGGAGGTGAGGTAGGACACATTGAGGTGGTGTAGGACACATGGAGGTGAGGTAGGACACATTGAGGTGGTGTAGGACACAGGGAGGTGGTGTAGGACACAGGGAGGTGGTGTAGGACACAGGGAGGTGGTGTAGGACACAGGGAGATGGTGTAGGACACAGGGAGATGGTGTAGGACACATGGAGGTGAGGTAGGACACAGGGAGGTGAGGTAGGACACAGGGAGGTGGTGTAGGACACAGGGAGGTGGTGTAGGACACAGGGAGGTGGTGTAGGACACAGGGAGATGGTGTAGGACACAGGGAGATGGTGTAGGACACATGGAGGTGAGGTAGGACACATGGAGGTGAGGTAGGACACAGGGAGGTGGTGTAGGACACAGGGAGGTGGTGTAGGACACAGGGAGATGGTGTAGGACACATGGAGGTGAGGTAGGACACATTGAGGTGGTGTAGGACACAGGGAGGTGGTGTAGGACACAGGGAGGTGGTGTAGGACACAGGGAGATGGTGTAGGACACAGGGAGATGGTGTAGGACACATGGAGGTGAGGTAGGACACATGGAGGTGAGGTAGGACACAGGGAGGTGAGGTAGGACACAGGGAGGTGGTGTAGGACACAGGGAGGTGGTGTAGGACACAGGGAGATGGTGTAGGACACAGGGAGATGGTGTAGGACACATGGAGGTGAGGTAGGACACATGGAGGTGAGGTAGGACACAGGGAGGTGAGGTAGGACACAAGGAGGTGAGGTAGGACACAGGGAGGTGGTGTAGGACACAGGGAGATGGTGTAGGACACAGGGAGATGGTGTAGGACACATGGAGGTGAGGTAGGACACAGGGAGGTGAGGTAGGACACAGGGAGGTGAGGTAGGACACAGGGAGGTGAGGTAGGACACAGGGAGGTGAGGTAGGACACAGGGAGGTGAGGTAGGACAGGGAGGTGAGGTAGGACACAGGGAGGTGAGGTAGGACACAGGGAGGTGAGGTAGGACACAGGGAGGTGAGGTAGGACACAGGGAGGTGAGGTAGGACACAGGGAGGTGAGGTAGGACACATGGAGGTGAGGTAGGACACATGGAGGTAAGGTAGGACACATGGAGGTGAGGTAGGACACATGGAGGTAAGGTAGGACACATGGAGGTGAGGTAGGACATATGGAGGTGGTGTAGGACACATTGAGGTGGTGTAGGACACATTGAGGTGGTGTAGGACACAGGTGGCGTAGGACCAGGACAACTCACCCAGCGAGACGACCAGGACTACTGCCAACACCCAGATGTTGAGGAAGACTAAAGTGACCTTTGCCACTGTGACCATTGACCGCAACATGCTCCTCAGTAGACGACGCAGCAGCCTCTTGTAGGGGCTACATTTTTCTGCGGACAGAAGACACAATTCAGTAGGGGCTACATTTTTCTGTAGACAGAAGACACGATTCAGTAGGGGCTACATTTTTCTGTAGACAGAAGACACGATTCAGTAGGGGCTACATTTTTCTGTAGATAGAAGACACGATTCAGTAGGGGCTACATTTTTCTGTGGACATACAAGAGGACACAATTCAGTAGGGGCTACATTTTTCTGTGGACAGAGGACACAATTCAGTAGGGGCTACATTTTTCTGTGGACAGAGGACACAATTCAGTAGGGGCTACATTTTTCTGTAGACAGAGGACACAATTCAGTATGGGCTACATTTTTCTGTAGACAGAAGACACGATTCAGTAGGGGCTACATTTTTCTGTAGTCAGAAGACACGATTCAGTAGGGGCTACATTTTTCTGTGGACATACAAGAGGACACAATTCAGTAGGGGCTACATTTTTCTGTGGACAGAGGACACAATTCAGTAGGGGCTACATTTTTCTGTAGACAGAGGACACAATTCAGTAGGGCTACATTTTTCTGTGGACAGAGGACACAATTCAGTAGGGGCTACATTTTTCTGTAGACAGAGGACACAATTCAGTAGGGGCTACATTTTTCTGTAGACAGAAGACACAATTCAGTAGGGCTACATTTTTCTGTAGACAGAAGACACAATTCAGTAGGGCTACATTTTTCTGTGGACAGAGGACACAATTCAGTAGGGGCTACATTTTTATGCGGAAAGACCAGAAGACACAATTCAGTAGGGATTAAATTTTTCTGTGAACAGAAGACACAATTCAGTAGGGGCTACATTTGGACAGAGGACACAATTCAGTAGGGGCTACATTTTTCTGTGGACAGAGGACACAATTCAGTAGGGGCTACATTTTTCTGTGGACAGAAGACACAATTCAGTAGGGGCTACATTTTTCTGTAGACAGAAGACACAATTCAGTAGGGGCTACATTTTTCTGTGGACAGAGGACACAATTCAGTAGGGGCTACATTTTTCTGTAGACAGAAGACACAATTCAGTAGGGCTACATTAGGACAGAGGACACAATTCAGTAGGGGCTACATTTTTCTGTAGACAGAAGACACAATTCAGTAGGGGCTACATTTTTCTGTGGACAGAAGACACAATTCAGTAGGGGCTACATTTTTCTGTGGACAGAGGACACAATTCAGTAGGGGCTACATTTGGACAGAGGACACAATTCAGTAGGGGCTACATTTTTCTGTGGACAGAGGACACAATTCAGTAGGGGCTACATTTTTCTGTGGACAGAGGACACAATTCAGTAGGGGCTACATTTTTCTGTAGACAGAAGACACGATTTAGTAGGGGCTACATTTTTCTGTAGACAGAAGACACAATTCAGTAGGGGCTACATTTTTCTGTGGAGAGAGGACACAATTCAGTAGGTGCTGCATTTTTCTGTAGACAGAAGACAATTCAGTAGGGCTACATTTTTCTGTAGACAGAAGACACAATTCAGTAGGGGCTACATTTTTCTGTGGACAGAGGACACAATTCAGTAGGGGCTACATTTTTCTGTAGACAGAGGACACAATTCAGTATGGGCTACATTTTTCTGTAGACAGAAGACACAATTCAGTAGGGCTACATTTTTCTGTAGACAGAAGACACAATTCAGTAGGGGCTACATTTTTCTGTAGACAGAAGACACGATTCAGTAGGGGCTACATTTTTCTGTAGTCAGAAGACACGATTCAGTAGGGGCTACATTTTTCTGTGGACATACAAGAGGACACAATTCAGTAGGGGCTACATTTTTCTGTGGACAGAGGACACAATTCAGTAGGGGCTACATTTTTCTGTAGACAGAGGACACAATTCAGTAGGGCTACATTTTTCTGTGGACAGAGGACACAATTCAGTAGGGGCTACATTTTTCTGTAGACAGAGGACACAATTCAGTAGGGGCTACATTTTTCTGTAGACAGAAGACACAATTCAGTAGGGCTACATTTTTCTGTAGACAGAAGACACAATTCAGTAGGGCTACATTTTTCTGTAGTCAGAAGACACGATTCAGTAGGGGCTACATTTTTCTGTGGACATACAAGAGGACACAATTCAGTAGGGGCTACATTTTTCTGTGGACAGAGGACACAATTCAGTAGGGGCTACATTTTTCTGTAGACAGAAGACACAATTCAGTAGGGCTACATTTTTCTGTAGACAGAAGACACAATTCAGTAGGGCTACATTTTTCTGTGGACAGAGGACACAATTCAGTAGGGGCTACATTTTTATGCGGAAAGACCAGAAGACACAATTCAGTAGGGATTAAATTTTTCTGTGGACAGAAGACACAATTCAGTAGGGGCTACATTTGGACAGAGGACACAATTCAGTAGGGGCTACATTTTTCTGTGGACAGAAGACACAATTCAGTAGGGGCTACATTTTTCTGTAGACAGAAGACACAATTCAGTAGGGGCTACATTTTTCTGTGGACAGAGGACACAATTCAGTAGGGGCTACATTTTTCTGTAGACAGAAGACACAATTCAGTAGGGCTACATTAGGACAGAGGACACAATTCAGTAGGGGCTACATTTTTCTGTAGACAGAAGACACAATTCAGTAGGGGCTACATTTTTCTGTGGACAGAAGACACAATTCAGTAGGGGCTACATTTTTCTGTGGACAGAGGACACAATTCAGTAGGGGCTACATTTGGACAGAGGACACAATTCAGTAGGGGCTACATTTTTCTGTGGACAGAGGACACAATTCAGTAGGGGCTACATTTTTCTGTGGACAGAGGACACAATTCAGTAGGGGCTACATTTTTCTGTAGACAGAAGACACAATTCAGTAGGGGCTACATTTGGACAGAGGACACAATTCAGTAGGGGCTACATTTTTCTGTAGACAGAAGACAATTCAGTAGGGCTACATTTTTCTGTAGACAGAAGACACAATTCAGTAGGGCTACATTTTTCTGTGGACAGAGGACACAATTCAGTAGGGGCTACATTTGGACAGAGGACACAATTCAGTAGGGGCTACATTTTTCTGTGGACAGAGGACACAATTCAGTAGGGGCTACATTTGGACAGAGGACACAATTCAGTAGGGGCTACATTTTTCTGTGGACAGAGGACACAATTCAGTAGGGGCTACATTTTTCTGTGGACAGAGGACACAATTCAGTAGGGGCTACATTTTTCTGTGGACAGAGGACACAATTCAGTAGGGGCTACATTTTTCTGTGGACAGAAGACACGATTTAGTAGGGGCTACATTTTTCTGTAGACAGAAGACACAATTCAGTAGGGGCTACATTTTTCTGTGGAGAGAGGACACAATTCAGTAGGTGCTGCATTTTTCTGTAGACAGAAGACAATTCAGTAGGGCTACATTTTTCTGTAGACAGAAGACACAATTCAGTAGGGCTACATTTTTCTGTGGACAGAAGACACAATTCAGTAGGGGCTACATTTTTCTGCGGACAGAGGACACAATTCAGTAGGGCTACATTAGGACAGAGGACACAATTCAGTAGGGCTACATTTTTCTGTGGACAGAGGACACAATTCAGTAGGGGCTACATTTTTCTGTAGACAGAGAACAATTCAGTAGGGGCTACATTTTTCTGTAGACAGAAGACACGATTTAGTAGGGGCTACATTTTTCTGTAGACAGAAGACACAATTCAGTAGGGGCTACATTTTTCTGTGGAGAGAGGACACAATTCAGTAGGTGCTACATTTTTCTGTAGACAGAAGACAATTCAGTAGGGCTACATTTTTCTATAGACAGAAGACACAATTCAGTAGGGCTACATTTTTCTGTAGACAGAAGACACAATTCAGTAGGGCTACATTTTTCTGTGGACAGAAGACAATTCAGCAGGGGCTACATTTTTCTGTAGACAGAAGACAATTCATTAGGGCTACATTTTTCTGTAGACAGAAGACACAATTCAGTAGGGGCTACATTTTTCTGCGGACAGAGGACACAATTCAGTAGGGCTACATTAGGACAGAGGACACAATTCAGTAGGGCTACATTTTTCTGTGGACAGAGGACAATTCAGTAGGGGCTACATTTTTCCGTAGACAGAAGACACGATTTAGTAGGGGCTACATTTTTCTGTGGACAGAGGATACAATTCAATAGAGGCTACATTTTTATGCGGAAAGACCAGAAGACACAATTCAGTAGGGGCTACATTTTTCTGTGGACAGACAAGAAGACACAATTCAATAGGGCTACATTTACTCATTGAACTTCACGAGAGCCCACTTAGCTAATACGAGTACTCGGCCTCAGACAAGTGAAATACTATTGGACTTTCAAACTTAAATCTTGAGTGTAGTTTTTCAACGTTTTATCCTTAAACTGACTTCCACCTCGCACATACCTGGAGATTTTAAGTCAAATAAAAATAGCTGGGGGGGGGGGGGAGGCAGGTAAAACCACCTGACACATTTAACTGAATGTAGTGACGTGTACATCAGACTTGCTCAAAACGAGGCTACAGGAAACTTGCCGGGCTATCTACGACATCACATCAATCATTTCACTACACCTTCAGCGGCGAGGCTATGGCTGCATGCATGGTGGGTACTGATTGGGATCTACAGGTGGTAATGATTGAAATCTAACATATAAGGGGGGGGGGTGGTGGCCCGGGTGGGGGTCGAGTGATTGAAATCTTGAATTCAAGGAGGGGAAAGAATAATGGTTCAAATCTAACATGCAGTAAGGGTTATAATTCAAATATAATCCGTAAGTCTCTAAAAAAGTGACAACATATAGTATTGCTACAACACATAGTATCGATATAACACATAGGAAGTGTAATAATTAAAATATAATAGGTAAGTCTCTACAATATAAAGTATCGCTACAACACATAGTATCGCTACAACACATAGTATCGCTACAACACATAGTATCGCTACAACACATAGTATCGCTACAACACATAGTATCGCTACAACACATAGTATCGCTACAACACAT